GTCTTCAACATGCTCATGCGTGCGGCCAGGTGCCCTGCAGCACCACACTCCCGCTTGGGCTGTGCATCAAGCACCCAACCCAGCTGTGTGTGCAAAGTAAAATAAATTATAAAAATAAAAGGCTTGGTTAGCACGATCCAACACCAGTGTGCTTACGCTGCTGCTTGCAAAGCAGCTGGGAAGGGCAGAGGAGCTGCAGCCAGGCCACGGAGGGCTGGGACTGCTGGAGCCCGTCCTGCAGAGGTGAGGGACGATGCTGCTGAGGTTGGAGAGATGGCCTGGTGGCAGGGTCCAGCAGCTGAAAGGTCACTAGGAAGGCAATTTTCCTGCTTTTCTCTCCTCTTGAGATGAGGACCTGAGTTACTGCAGGGGAAAATGATGATTGATGAAAGCTTTGTGGCAGGAGACCGCTGCAGGGCCGGGGCAGAGGAGCTCGGCTGGGACGCGGGAGCCTGCAGGCAGGGGAGGACAGCTGCCCAGCCCCAGCAGCGCTGAGATGCCAGCACACAGGGATTTCAAGTGCACACCAGAGCCACACCGACTGCATGTCACTGCGGGGCCGGAGGGGACGGGTGTCGCTGGGCTCAGCTCCCGGTGAAGCATGTGTCACCAATTGCCACATTTCATGGCCCGATGAGATGGCACTTGGCCATGGCACCGAGCGCGGTGGCCTGGGATGGAGGAACGGGGATGGCTTGTGAGTTAGCTCTGCTGCCTGAGGCAGCAAATACCTTGTGCCTTTACCCCGTCCTCTGTGAAGGGTGCCAGGATCTGCTGAAGGGCAGTGCCATCCCACCGGGGCTAATAGAGGGAGAATATTTCCCCGTGGCTGGGCTGGTTCAAGCCCCAGGATGCCCCAACGCTGTAGCCCTGCCCCAGGGCCAAGGCTCACCCGCGGGGCTCACCCATGGCTCTGGAGGCCACAGCATGTCTTCGACAACTTCCCTGCACAAACTCTGTGAGGGGTCTTTGCTGAGCCCAGCATATCTCCCAGGTCTTGCAAATGCCCTGCGGGACCTCTGCAGTCTTGCATTTTCCTTGGCCTCTGCAGAGCCGTGGCCTCATCCTGCCATCCGTGTGCACGGCCACCTCGGGCTCCTGCAAGATACCTGGTGTGAAAGCCTCCTGCCGAGCCCATCAGTGACCTTCTACTTTTCCCCAGCAAACAGTGATGTCCAGTCCCAAAGGGAAGCGGTGCAGAGCGTGGGGGCCACAGCGTGGTTAACCAGCCTCAGCAGTGTCCCCATAAACTGGGGGTGACATGCCAGCCTCCCGGGGAAGGGAGGTACAATGTGGTGGCTTTCGGTGACAGGGCTCTGTGGGATGCTGCTGGCAGCGGGGAGCCCAGTGGGATTCGGAAATGTGATGTGCCTTTGGGAAAGGCTGGTGGGAAGCGTATCGGGCAGTTTGTAAAAATAAACAGGGACCCCCCCACCTCGCAGCTGGGCTGCCATCACCCACCCTGTTCTCCTCCAAACAGCCACAGTGTTTTATGGTGGTTTCACCCCCCTTCAAATCAGGAATATTTGGGTTCTTTCCTACCAGTGATCTCATCTGCATCATTTCTATTAGGGTAGCAACAGATCATTTCCCTCTGCTGTCAACACATTCTGTCAGGGAAGGAAAACATGGGAGAGCCTAAATCCGATACCAAAACGCAAGGTGGGCTGGCTGGGTTGTGACAACAGGTGAAAGGCTTGGGCTGGTGGGAGAGGCGAGAGCCCTGCATGCCCTCTGCTTCCCTCCCAGCCCCTGAAAAGCTGGCAAAAATCACCATGAGCCCAAAAAAACCCTCTTGGACTGGAGACCGCTGCAAAGGGAAGGGACAAGGTGAGCCGTCTGCAGAGGGAGGTTGCACAGGGTGTGTTTTGTGCTGAGCTGGTGGCAGGCAGCCTGGCGGGTGTCCTGCTGTGTGGGGTCTCCCCGTCAGGAGCAGGGATGCTGCTTTTGGGCAGGCCTGATGGATAGGCTGGATTTCTGCATGGGAGAAAGAAAGAAAAAAAAAAAAAAGAGTGCAAATAATTGTCTAATGGAAATAGAGAAACTTGGAGCGCAGGCAGGACGGGTGGGCCACTGCCTTGTCATGGCCCAGCTGCCCATGGCCAGGAGTGCATCCTTAGGGACAAATATGCAACCCGTACATTGGCAGAGAGGCTGCGGTCCTGGCTCCGAGGGCAGAGTAGTGTTGCATGCCCAAAGTAGTGGATGCCCAGACAAACCCTGGGCATCCTTCCTGCCTCTTCTTCCTCCTGCTTGCTCCAGCAAGCGTCTCTGCAGGTGCGAGCCCCGCACTTCCAGCTGCATCGCCCCGAGTGTCCTCACTGCCCTCCCCGGGCCGGCTCCAGCAAAGCACCCGCAGAGGCTTTCTCCTTTCTGCTGCAGGCAGGGACTGGCAGGGGAAGGTGTGATAATCTTCTCCTTTGAGGCCACAGTAATCGTTCACACCAAACTGCAAGCACTTTTATATCAGTTGTGAAAGACACGAAAGATGACAAAAAAAAAATGCTTTTACATATATATTCAATCAATGTCTATGGAGCTTAACGCAAGGGGATTACCAGCCAGTTTAGAGCGTTAGTGACTTTCGACATTCATCAGAGGAGAACACTTGGTTGAATTGAAGCCAGCCTTTGATGGGATTGGAGAATAATTATTTCCATCAATAATTACTTCCAAGCCCAGAATAAATGGTTCCTAGCGCGTTGCAGGACAGGAGTCCTTGGTTGCCTCAAGACCAATAAGTTTTAACCCCAGGACCTGAAAATCTCATTAGTGGGAGAGGGGGCCAGGGTGAGAGGGACATCACCCACCATGCCCGAGTCCCTCCTGCAAGGCAGCAGTGCCCCAGCGTGCTGCCAGCCTGGGGAGGAACCATCCTGCCTCTGCTGCTGGAGCTGATCCAGCCCAGACTTTGTACAGGTCATTAATTTGGGGACATTTTTAATGGATCCTAATGATTGAGCCTCAGAAGTCTGTTCTTAAAAGAGGGTTGGGAAAGACCACAAGCTAATTAGCTCTCACAAAGAAAGCAATTAACCATGTAGCTTCCCGGATGGTTAAAAATAACATAGACGTTGGGAAGCGACTGGAGGATTTATTACAAGCAGAGTAATAGATTTTTAAAGCCAGGGGGACCATCGGATCAGCCAGTGTCACCTCCTGCATGTCCTGGGCCAGAAATATTTCACCCAGCTTCCCCCCATTGACCCCTGTTGCTTGTATTTGGCTGATGCACATGCTTAAATGTTTAGGGATTACAAAATGGGCTCCAGGAAAGGGTCAGCTATTAGAGAAAGTGGGGGTTTGTTGAGAGAGAAAACACAGGTGGAAAGAGAGGGGGGACTCTTCTTCTGCAGGTGCTCCTGTGCCAACTCCAGCCCCCAAAAGTGTTGCTCATGGCTGGGGCAGGCCGTAGGATGTTCCCTGGGGCATGCAAGCCTCTGGCCATGCCTAACCGGGGCTAACATGCCGTTTTAGCATCACATTGCTCTTTAACCACCCTCTTGGCCCCCGTTTAACCCCCCCAGATGTGCAGCATGCACCCGGCCCTGGCCCCTTGTTCCTGACCCCACAGCCCATGTGTGATGGCTGTGACGATCTCAAAGCACCCTCCTGGCAACCCTGAGCCACTGTGGCTGCGGGGCTGGCAGGGGGACATCCCAGCCTCCCCCTGCTCCAAGGTGGGGGTCCACATGGCCCGGGGGCTTCGGCGTGCTGCTTTCCAAAGGGAGGAGGTAGGTCAGGTGGCAGACATGGCAGCGGGACCTTGTGGAGCTGACCTGGGGATGGCTAAACCCCAAAGCAGCACCCGCAGCCCATTCCTGAGGTTGGCTTCAAAATGATAATGGGAAGAAATGGGAACACTTTCTCTGCCAGCTGAGCCCAGCCCACCATGGGTACCACCCCACAGCCAGATCGGGCTTGGACATGCTGATGCTTGCTTTATTTATTCGAATAATACGCTGGATGACACCAAAAACATAGCGTTCTTGGCGCCCTGCTGGGTATGGTTTATGGCTTTCCGTTAATCTTTCTGTTCTTTGAAATAAACATCTGCGGGGCCTGGAAATCTATTTACTTTCCTCCTAAGTGTCTGAGCTCAGGCTTGTTTGGGTTTGTTTTCTCCATTTGGCTTCTTTTCTCCATTTGAGCTTGCCCTGCCCAAGCCCCGGTGTTTCTTGGAGACCTCTCACCCCAGGCTTTCCCTGCCCTAGCTCCGCTCCTCACCAACTCTCATGGTCTCCCCAGGGCTCTTGCAGGCACCTGCCTGGCCCAGGTGGTTCCCCTTAGCTCTGCTGAGCTGTCCCAGGTTCTCCAGCTTGGGCTTTCATCAGGATCGGGTGCGTTTACTGGCCCAGCACCCTATTTGTAGGAGCAGGGAGGAAAGCTGTCCTCTGGCTGCCAAAGCTTTGCTACCACCTGCATGCTGGTGAGGGGGATAGGATGAGGATGTGGATGTGTGGTGACGTATTGGCAATGCTAACAGCAGGATTGGGAAATGGCATTTGAAATACAAAAGGTTTTTTTTCTACCATAGTGCAAGACCAGTACTGTCTCTGCAGAGCTGGTGAGCTAAAACCCACAATGCAGAGGAAGATGTCCAGGGGTGCTGGTCTGATTAGCTACCATTGCCCCTTGCTGTTGCATTGAATTCAGACCCCATGCTGTCCCTGCAGTATGGGGCTGACCAGCTGCTCCTTGGCTACGTGATACCTGTGGCATCTCTGCCTGAAAGCTGAGCACAGCATGCCCACTCTAGGGCACAGCTTGGCTTGGAAATAGGGGCTTTCTGGAGCCTTGTAGGAGCATTTCCCACTGCAGGGCTGAGCACCGTGGGCTTAGGAGATCCAAGAGCAACCTCCAGCTCTCCTTCACAGCAGCACAGGTCCTACCTGCAGAAAGGAAAGGGGATTCACCAGTGCATGGGAAACCTTCAGCCAACAAGCCCAGCTGAACGGACAGTTCTTTATTGCTCTCTTTCTCTCCTCTTACTCCCACAGTGGGACACTCAGCTGCCTGCCATACCCCGCGGAGGACAGATGTCCCAAAAAGCTGAGTGGCCATGCAGTCAAGGAGGCCTCCACCACCAACGGCTGCGCGAAAGGCAAGGAGAGACGAGACCATGCTCGCCATAGGTCACGCAGGTAGGAGCCAGGGCTGTAAGCCGGGTCACCCCAAAGCAGGGGGATGGCAGAGAAGGCGTCTGTGACTGTTTACCCAGCCCCTCTGGGGGTCTGCAAGAGCTGGGTATGGGTTACATCACCATGTGAGCGTACAGCAAATGTATGCGATTGTATGAAACCCCCGTCGATGTTTGCAGGGAGAAACCTGCAAACCTGTAATTCACTTCCACTCCTTGTCTTGCTCTTACAGCCCCCTTACAAGTAGCCCTGGCTGGAAGACAGGCGACCTGCTAGCATCCCTGTGTGCTACCAGGACTGCAGGGTACCCCTGGCTGGGCATCACCCTCAGCAATTCCCCTCTCCCCATGCCTACATCAGACTAGCAGCATTGGCTTCATTAGGACACAGCTTCATTATCAGTTCGTCGTTAGGCCCTGACAACTTGAGAGGGGAAAAATGAATTGAATGTTGTAAATGAAGCAGCTAGGGTCTCTGAGCCTTGCCTGTTGAACTGTCTCTGGGATTAAAGCCTCTCCGTTTGGTTAAAGATGCTGGAAAGAAAGAGCAAGAAAGCACATTTCATATCTTCAGATTTCAGGCTAACCGGAACAATAATCTAAAGCGTATTTTTAATTAGGCTTTGATTACAATCACAGAAAAACAATTAAAGTTGGATCAGTGCAGGGAGAAAGCTTCCACATCAAAGACAAAAGGCTTTATCTTGGGAGAGGGAGAAGGGCTCTACAGAAACCGCCTGTGATCGCACTGCACGGTCAGAGGTTTCTCCCCGCTCTCCCTTGGCCGTGGCCCTGGGCAAGGGGGGGCTGAGACGCACCCAGACCTGTTTGCTGGGGAGCCCAAATCTGCGCTAGGGGAAAGCGCGTGGGAGCTGGGGTTGAGCATCCTGATAACTGAGGGGCTGAGATGGGTGTTCAGGTCCCTGGTCTGGGACAGACCCTTAGGGTGTCTTTGGGCAGATGTCTGAGCTTAGCGACAATGAGCTGTCTTGGAAAACACATTTCTTCTACCTTAATGCAGACAAAAGACCCACTAAGCCTGAGGTGTGCCATATCTCCTAACAGTGCTTCTGCTGGTCGGTGAAACCCTGGGGAGGAGAAAGAGAACGAGAAGGAGTATTTGGGTGCTCCCTGGGGGCACAGTGTGGTTGCACCTCGGATTTAGTGCACCAGAAGCACTTGGCACTCAGTTATTCACAGTTCACAACTGAAGCTTTAATGTACAGTTTTGTTTTGCAGAGCAATTAAAAAAAACAAAAAGGTGTATTAAAAGCACTAAGCAATTGGCTTTTTATGATAGTGTAGTTTTGGTAGTAATTCAAGCCCTTGGGTGAGCAAGTGTCGGGGGGCAGTGGAGCCCGAGTCCCCCCGCCATGTCCCCTTGTCACTGCCTCCAACAGGTCAATGTGCTGTGACATTTGCTCTGTGTTAGGACTCTCAATAATGATAACGTTTGTTCTTTCTGCAGAAACTGCTCAATTTTCGTCCGGTTTCTGCAGTGAAGATCCCACAGCATTTTCCCAACACGGGGCTACCTTCGCATGTTCCCCGCTAGCGACTCCTCCCGCTGGCGGGGTGAGAAGTGGGGAAACTGAGGCACAAACCCAGCGCCCTCATTTCCAACAGTGATTTTGCAGAGGCGCTGGGAAGCTGGCTGTGCCCCCCATAAACCTCGCCTGTGGATCAATTAGGGGACCCACAGACAGATCTGGGGATCAATTAGGGGATCCATGGGCTGATTTGGGGATTAACCTGGGGATCCACAGGCTGCCACTGTCTTTATGAGTGTTTGCTTTGGTTAATGAGTAGCCACAGAGCATCTGTCATATTTTCAGCCCAGTGCTCTGAATCAATTTAACCGTGGTATTTGCTGTTCATTGCAACATAACGCGATTCAGCGTTGTATGTTTAAAAAAGAAATTAATTTACAGGAGTTTTTTTCCAGAGTTTAACAACTGTGTAAGAGATGCATATCTCATTAAATTACCATAGCATCTCAATAAATATATATATATTTCTAATCAATTGCTATTTAACATATGTCAAGTCTTTTATTACAGCTAGATGCATCTGGTTGCAATAATTATTGTATGCAAATTAAATGCCAATTAATTATTTAAAGCATATTTACAAAGAGCAACAAAACCTATAAATCTGTTACGGAGTCGTTAACCTCAGCAAACACGTTTAAATAATCAACCGGCGTCACCGTGGCGTACAGTAGCTGTCTCATTATATCTCCATTAAACCCACGGATGAGACACTTCATTTAAACTGTGACCAAATTATTCGTTAGAGGGTAATTAGGCGCTCGCCTGCACCCTGGGTCCACCATGAAAACCGATCTCTCTCTGCCCTGGATGTCCCTGAGGTGGGGACGGCAGCAAACGGGGGAAAGCAGTCCCATGTAAGCTGATTCAGACAGTGCTTTTATTTTTATTATTTTAATTTGTTTGTTTTTTCCCCCCTCCTCAGACCCTCGTGTGATGGGGAGCGTGTGCCGCTGCCGGCCCGGGGGAAGAAGAAGAAGAAGAAATCCAGCCGCAAGAAGCGAAGAAGGTGATGGTGGCCATGGTGGCGTGTGGGGCAGGAGGGGACAGGTAGCTCTCGGCTGTGTGAGGGGGAAAAAGCCAGTGTAAAATAGAGGCTGGATACCCTACGGGGAGGTGCGAGGGGCTGGGGCTTTCCACAGGCCCAGGGAGGCGCCGCCATTTTCTCGCCCTCCCCTCAGGGTGGCAGAGGCCAGGCCGGGGCTCACCCCACAGCCCATCTTGGGGGGCCCCAGGAGCCCCCAGCTCCTCTTCACCCCAGGGTGATGCCATTGGTGGCAGGGTAAGGGTTGGGGTGGCCAGGGAGGGCTGTGGGGAGCCCTGCGGTCCCTAACGCCCCTCTGCCTCCTCAGGTCTCCCTCCTACAGCCCCTCGCCTGTGAAGAAGAAGAAGAAGAAGAAAAGCTCCAAGAAGCGAAAAAGAAACAGGTATTTTTCCTTTGAAAATGTAATTCCCCACCGGCAGCGGCTGGGGGGGGGGGGGGGGGGAACAGCTGGTCGAGCCCCCCGCGAGGAGACAGAGAGGTGTTCCTGACTCTTAATAATGGCATGGCGAGGTGTCAAACTCCTGACTCTTAATAATGGCCACCCAGAGGACACGGCCCCACCGGGAGGTGAAAGCCAGAAAGCTGAGGAGGGTCAGAGCCGGCATCCCTCTGGGCAAGGAGGGCACAAAATGGGATGCACACCCAGGGCAAACAGATAAATATGAGCTGTCGGGGCGTGGGGGAAGAGAGACAGATGAGCCAAATCAGTGTGAGGTCTGCAGAGCCTCTACCTGCTCCTTGACCTTGCTGTCCAATTTCCCATCCTCTGGGATGTCAACGAGATCAGCGCTCGGGGTTTGCACCGATCCTTTTCCCTTCTCCCCCAGCCTGCAGAAAGTGTCAGTGTTTGGACCAGGAAAAGGCTCAGACTAGCTCCCTGCATCCACATCTCAGCCTTCCCTCCCAGCCCCGGGTGACTGCCTCTACGTTCCCCTTCTGAAGCCCATTTTTAATTTAAAGAGCACAATTAAATTTTAAAATTGCACGTTTCCCTGTTTTCTCTCAACCGTTAAACCAATATTTGAACAGAACAGTGGATGCCACCTCCCTTAGAAAGTTCATGTATTTAGAATATATTGAACCGAAGAGAGACACTACCAAAAATGTATAACGGTGAAAAGCTGAGCTTGAATCTTAAAGAAAAGGGAGGGAGGAGGAGAGACAAGGATATAGAAACTCCTTTAAAATACTTCCTTCCCAAGGAGGGATTCTTATACTCTTTTATGGATGCCATCTCCTGGCAGCTGTCCTGGGTCAGATGCTCCTTGGCTTTGAACCTTTAGTACCCATTTGTGCCCCTGCAAGCCAAGGATAAGCTGTAGCTGGTCCCAAAAGGCAGCATGATAAACCATTAAGCATTAGTGACCAATGGAGGTTGTTTCCAGATACCTGGTGCCACTTCAACTACAGGTCCCAACTGACCTTGCCACAGGCAATCTCACCGCCCCTCTAGGCAGGACTTCAGGCCATGTCTTCTGTGGGATGTTGTGCTCCAAGCTGAGATAGGACACAGAATACTGATAGTGCAGTGTACTGGGGCCAGGCCTTGCTGCAAGGAAGTGTCCTCCATGCTCCCAGGGTTTTCTACAAGGACCACCAGCGCAGTGGCTCCTGCATTGTCCCAGGGATGCTTCAGGAGGCAAGACAGAGTCATGATGCTGGTTTGGCTGTGAGGCTGCTCTGAACTTACACAGAAAGGATTTTCCCTTTGACTGCTATTTGGTCCTTCATACAGAAAACCAGAGGCTGGACTCACCTCTGCCCCCTCAAACTGAGTTCAGTGCAAGACTGTGGAGGCAGCAGCAGAGAAAAGGGACCCACCAGGGACAGGGGATGTATCTGATCTCTACAGACTTGTTATCCTGAGGATCATATTCTCAATTATTTGCAGACTGTGATAGTCACTTCCACCACACCAGCATTTCTCAGCTACCCCCTTGCCAGCTGGCTAAAGGAGAGCCGAGGCCATTCTGCCCAGCTGGTACATGAGGACTTCTCACAGTGCTCAGTCTAATGCTGGGCCTAAACATATTGTCTCTGATTCAAATTTCCAATTTTGTGAGACCCTGTATTCAATGTACATATTTGTGTCTTGCAGGTTATCTTCAAAGAAGAGAAGACACAGGTAAGAGTTGAACAAGTGTGGGTGGTCCCTTAGAAATATGAGTTTAATGGTCTCTTCAAGATCTCACAAGGTTGATGTTCACTGGGTGGGGGCAGAAGACATTTTTCTTCTGTGTCTCCTTGTGGAATCTTCTTGGCTCCCCCCATTCCCTGTGAGTCTGGAGCTACCCTCTTCCTATTCAGCCTTATGCGTTCCTCAAACCCCACAGGAATCGGGTCTCCAGCCCAGCCTGTGCAATCAAGCACATAACTGGAAAAGACCTCTTGGTATAACCTAGCCCCTGGCAACCTCATCCATGTTGCATCCATCCTGCATCTTGAGTCTTCATTTCTCTTACGGTTTTATTTGCAAACAGTATGGCATCCCCCAGCAGTGCCCATCTTTGAAACATTCAGAGTCAGTGGCTTTCCAGGTGTGTACTGGAAGAACTCTCCTGATTCCAGTACATGTGTGTTACAGTATCAAGAAATATTCATTTTTTCTATGGGAAAATGCAAAGCCACCAGGATGGCTGATCCCTTTGAGGATCCTTTTTGGCCAAGCCCACAACCCAGATTTGTCAGCAGGCACTCAGACCCGCTGTGCTGCAGCAGAATCATTAATCCCTTTCATTTTTATTGCACGCTCTTGGGCAATCTAGCTGTAACATTGGCATGTGATTGTTCAGCTTTTTATCAGAACAGAAATCTCCGAATTAATTAGCCATTTCTTATTTAGTTCTTCAAGCCCTAAAAGTAAGAGAAAGGAAGAAAGAAAACACAAAAAACAGTAAGTAGTGATTCATGGTGTTCCCTGCCCTGCCTGTGCAGAGCTGTGGGGCTAGGAAGTGCTTGATGTGGTGGGTCCCCTGGAGCTAACACCGGCTGCACAGCCCTAAGCGATTCTCAGGATTATTTCGCAGCTAAAACGAGCAATTCTGGTTTTGCTGGAATGGAAAAGGGTTTGTAGAGGCTGGAGATCTTTCCTCTCCCTCTCTTTTGTGCCACCTCATTCAGTACTTTCTTTGTATCTCACAAGGATGTACAGTGTCTTGTTCATCCAGTCCTGAGCAGAGACTCCAGCTTTTCTGATGAGGGCAGCATGAGAAGATGAACTCAAATCTGTGGAGCGCAGTGCTCCACAGCCTCCACTGCCCAAATGGCAGGCTGGCACACTCTTACTGAGAAGGGCTTTAGCTCCTCCTTGTTTGCTGCTCTTGGAGGTTACAGGAGTAGGGGCTACTCAAGATATACAATACAACCAAATACCTGAATGCGAGCAGAAGGCAATGGGGATTAGGGAAGAGAAGGTATTGTCTGGAGGTGATGGAGGTTGCAAAAATCTGGGGTTGAGGTTCCCATCTGCCCTGGAGTGTTAGCAGAGAACAATCCTTGTCCTATGGGGCAGACAATCCAAGGGGTATGGTATAAAACGTGGTTCCTCAGGGCTGGAAGGAAGGCCTATAAGGCTTCTCTGTTTTTCACTTCCTTCTCTGTCTTCTCCTGGGAATTGCAACTTGTGGCTTCTCACCTGCTTTCAGAGCAAGGAAACAGTTCTGGGGCTGAACCTTGGGCACCAAACCCCTGGTTGGCTCTGCTTGGACTTGGGATACCCTGCTAGAGACAGAAACTGAGCTAGCAGACAGAAATTTGCTGGGTTTTTTGGTATTAGTAGGACCTGCTCTTTAATTCTTCCCAACACAACTTTTAGCTCTTAGGCAGAAAGGTGACAGAGGGACAACAACCCCTGACACCACCAGTGTCACCCCAGTACCCATTGGGACTGAAGAGATTGGGAATCCATGAGGTGCAGAGCATGTTGTGCTGCCTGCACAGGCCATCTCTATTGCAAGCAAAAAGCCCATCTCCTTTTCTCTATGATTTCTGCATGTTCAGTAGCACAGCCACCTTTTTTTTTTTTTTCCATAAACTGAGTTGCTATGCACCCAGAAATCTCAATGGTAAATTTCCACAAACTGAGCTGCTATGCACCCAGAAATCTCAATGGTAAAACTGAGGCTTCCTAGGTTATCAGTAAAAGCAGGCATCTCCCAAACCCAATGTAGCACTGGCCAGTACGTGGTAGCCTAACAGTGTGGTTAAAACAAAGATCAGATGCCTTGCTGGAGTGTACTGACCCAGGGAAATGAGCTGCTAGAATTGCTCTTTGGGGATAAACCAGCCAGGGTGTTTTAGCCTTCATCTTTCAGCTCACAAAACAGAGCTGAGCCACTCCTGGTTTCTGCAAACCTTCTTATTGCTCCTCGGCGTGGATCAGATAGATCCCATGAGCCAACTCAGATCAGGATTTTTGTAAAATCACACTGCTTTGGCTCATCTTTGTGTCGAGAAACTGGTTATCTAAATCACACAGGACCAGTTTTTCCTCCTGCAGAAAGGGAAAACTCTTAAACTGGAAGGACTGATGCAGAGGGTGAAGAGCAAACACGGGGATTTTCACACAAATCCACCATGTGAGGGAGAGATGTTCAGTGTTGCTGATTTCAGCTGTATGAAAATAAGAAAGGAGGATCCCAAAAAGTGACGTTTTTAATGTGAAAAGCATCAGAGAAAACAGCCCAGCAGAGTTCAAGCAATTGCCCTGGAGGTTGCCCTTTTGTCTTAAAGGAGATGCTGTTCTCAAGCAATTGATTTGCTGAGTTTTTATAGCAGCAAACTGCTAAATGTTGTCCAGGCAGGTTGTATTAGTGCTGTCAGTGACTGGCATAGTGTGGCCATGAAACCAGACTGTTCCCACCAGCTAACCCATCGTTAGTTTTACCTGCCGGCACAGCGATGCCAGCCTGAGCAGACGGCTACGCTACCAGATCTAAAATAACTGCTGTGGCGGGCCACGATGAGCGGGAATGGGCACAGAAGGTGACAGGTAGCCTGCCACCCACATCACCCTGCTGTCTGCGTGCAGGACTTCAGCTGTTGGTGTGGGCAACAACAGCCCTTCAGTAATAGGGCCAGGTAATCCATCAGTAATAGCCTGAATAGAGCAAAGGGAAGCGCAGCGGGGCATGGAACCTGGGTCCCTGCGCGTGGTTTGCTGGTAACTGTCCTGTGGCCCTGTCAGAAAAAGGAGCAGCAGTGACTGGACACCTAAAGAAGCCAGGTAAAATGGTCCTGCCCCTCAAGCAGGAGCTGTGCATAGCGCAGGCTGCAGTTAGGGAAGCTGTACTTCATATAGCAACCACAAGAGCTGCCCATAGGACTGGCTAGACTCTCCCCCCTAGAGAGTGTGGGGAAGGCTGGCTGTTACGGAGTACTGTATTTGGAGCCTGTCCTTCTGCATCTGTTCTTTAACAAGGAGCCTGCACTACAGAGAGGGTTAGAGCAAGAAATGGGAGGGTTGCAGCTTTGCGATGGGTTGCCTGGAGGGACAGTGTTCCCCCGAGGGTCAGCAATGGGAAGGTCCCAGGCTGTTCCCTGGTTGTCTTAGGGTAGGCTGCAGGATGAAGGGCAAGCAGATGAGCGGGCGAGCACATAGTTCTTTAAGGTCTTGAAAGCAGAAAAGATTGGTGCTGCCTGCTGCACTCCTGCATGCTAGTCCATAGATCTTCCTCCAGCAGGCTACAGAGCCAACCTAATAGCTTGTAGTTAAAATGCTAGCATAGATCTCAGTAAGATGGCTTGCCTTAACGTCAGTGTAGCTATGAAGGGATGGAGAATTTCTCATGCCTTGGTGTCCTGCACGTTTCACACACCAATCTCTCTGGTTTAAAACGCAGATCTCCTTTCTGATTTGAATGTTATTGACTTCAGTTTCCAGCTGCTGGCCCTTGCATCCCCCCAGTCTGCTAGCCTAACAGTGGTTTTCCTCTCTGCTTCTTAAAGCTCTCGTGGGCGCACCCGGAAATCTCATCACCATCGCCACCGCCACTCTCGCTCAGAGAGCTCCGACTCCCACTCCCCCAGCTGCCGAAGCAGGTAACGTCACCGCTCCCTGAGCTGGGTGTCCTGTGACGCTTCCCGGTGGGCTCAAGGACGTGATTGCAATAGCCTGTGTGACCCACAAACTCTGCAGAGCCACGTCCCATTCTGGTAGCAGCTATGTCACATACTGGGGGTTGAGCTTCTTGTGATCTGGCCATAGAAGGGTTGTAGCTCGGAGCAGTGGCTGCAGCTTTTCAGTCCAGCAGTCACTTCTAATCCCCATGGCTGATGATCAGCCCATGACAACTGATTCCAGCCTAGTCTCCCTTCCCCAGCCCCAGGGCTCTGTACTGCTGATGTCCCAGGAAACACTTAAACTTGGTCTTAGCAATGGAAATATATTTGCCCATGGCATTCTGTAGCCACTGTCTTTGACCTGATTAAAATCTCAGTCCTGTGGATGACAGATGCATCCTGAGGCCAGCCAAGTGGATGCTGGTGCTATACCCGGCATCACTGCAATAGCAAGTCACATAGTTTATACACATCATGAGTTTGTTTCATATTTTCTGAAAGCACTTGACTTTATGAACAAACCACCCCCACTCTCCCACTTCACTTCTCCTAACTATTGGGAATTTTCTTATGAAAAGCTGATGATCAGTGGGGGGAGGAAAGCAATCAGTAATTGGAGGGGTGCTCATGCAAGAGCAGAGCATGTCTTCTTGGAGGTGTATTACCATAGGGATATTCAAGGCTGGTGGCTCAAGGCAAGCCATGCTTTCACACATAAAATCATGAATTGGAGCTGAAATTCGAGGTTAAGGTCCAAAGCCTGGATGCAAAATATTTAAAAAAAAAAAAATAGAAAAGCAAAACACCCCTGAAAATATTTAAAAAAAAAATAGAAAAGCAAAACACCCCTTTTCTCTCCATCATGACTTCACAGAGCAGTCATGTGGAAGACCTTCTCCCGCACGCAATGGCCTAGCACAGAGCTGCCAAGGGTTTGTATGGACCTGGTAATGGGCACTTCTGCAATACCGAGGAATAACGGTTTGGCTGTTCATGTCTTCTGGAGGCACAGAGCCAGGTCTCGGGAGGAAGGGCGTAAAACACGGCGAAGACACTCCCGGCATCGCTCAAAGGTCATGGCAAAGCGAAGCTCCTCTGCAGAGGTTCAGGCCAGCCAAAAAGCCAGCCAAATCCTCCCACTGTACAGCTTCCTGTCTCCTAAGGAAGTAGTAAGTATTACACACTGTGCTTCTTTGCTTGAACTAGCCACAGGAATCTGGGCAAGAAATCTGACATGAAATTTTTATAACTCAATTATAGCGATGTTAGACAAAGTTGGTTAAAACTGTATTATTTATTAATGGTGCTGTTCTCCAATGTATTTAAAGTCATTCCTTCCTTCAGCACTTTCACACCAAGGGTGGGGCTGGAGAGGGGAAAAATTTGCAAAGGCTCTAGCCTATGAATACTGAATTGAGGACATTTAACAAAAAAAAGTGGCCTCCAGCAATGATATTTTACAGGGAAGTGTTTGTTATGCAGTCTTTGCTCAGCTGGATGTGAACTTAATTCACCGGTCTTCATGTCCAAAAGTTTAGTCCTTCAGGGGAAGAAAGGGAATCAAACATATATAAAAGAAATATTTACATTTAATGAGTTGGTGATTATTGGCAGGGGATGTTTCTGACTATCAGGATCCTTCTAGGATCACTGTTGCTCTGGACTGACAAGCCCAGGGGCCAAATTTGGAACTGATGAGCAGCTCTCGTTGATGCTAATGGGAACTGCATGTGCAGCCGAGGGTAAAATCAGGCTCAGTGCCTTGGGATGTTTTTTCCATATACATGGAAAGAGATGATATAATACATGCTTTAGAATTGAGGGAGCAAGAGATAGAGAGAAATATTAGATACTGATTGATATGAAGTCTTCCTTTTCCCGTGGCACGATTCCCCTTTGTTCCCAGTAGCTGCAAAGCAGAGGTGTGATCACGGTGTTAGTATCTGATAGGCATTCTGGAGAGATAAATTGCTACATAGGACTCAAGGTAGTGCAGAATCTACCTGGTACTTGTGTGTGTGGATGTGTAATGTTAGAGGTGTCTTGAGTACAGAGTCTTCCAAGCCCCAAAATGGTATACAATGGGGAACTGATTTTCTCCGTTAGGCCCAGTCATCAACTGGAAATAGCTCAGCCATACGCAGTAGCTACATCAGATATGAGAGAGAGAGTGCCAGCAAGAGGAGAGACTTTATCCGCTCACCCGCACAGACACTGTTCCGATCAAAATACACAGAGATTATATGTGGGCACAGACAGGCACAAGCTGTCTCTCAGAATTATAGATATGCATATTTGCTGTCGTCATATACATCTCCTGAGTGTGTAGTGCACAGTGAGTCATTGCTTATAAAACCATATAAGGTAGAGTGTGAATAGCAGAACCTGCACACCACGCTTAGAGGCATGTGTGTGTGCACATGCAAGCTATGAAGCTTTTATTGCCGTGAGCCTGGGGTGTTGCCCTCTGTCAACTTAGGAAGGTAGGAATGAGTTAAGAGCTCCTCCCAAAAATCAACCGGCCAAAGACTGCATCGTGTCACCAGGGCTTTTTTTTCTGTTGTTCGAGCTGCATATTTTACATAAATGTCTTCAAGTCTAAGCCTGGTTTTTAATTGGTACTAGGTTTCCTCTCTCTGAAGCCAGGCTCCCTGAGTCCTGTGAGGCCGACTGCCAGCTGTTCTGTTCCCTGAGCAAGAGTAAACTCTAATTTAAAATTGTAAAAGCTTTAAAATGAGCTAAACTCAAGCATGCTGCACTCCCCTTTCCACTTGCTTCACTCGGGGTAAATGAGCACACAAGCTGCAGGGCAGGGAAAATCAGAGCTTTATAGTGATAGATGCAAAGTAAAAGTCATCAGGCCCCTGCTGTATTCTTTCTAGTAAGGGTTAACAACACAGGCAAATATTTCAATGACTAAAAGGCATCAGTACCTTTACTATGCAACCCACTAGTGCCCTTTTGTTCCTAAAAAGAAGTACGCTCTCTTGGGACATCATTCAAGAGTACATTTAAGCACTTGTTTAAATTGAAGCCCCCGGTTAAGTGCTGCCCCTGAAATTTTTCTGAATAAGGTCATTAAATATCATGTACTCAAAACTGGCAAAGGAAAAATGGAATGGGAACTTTTAGTCTCATTTATTAATGACTATACACAACTCTGATGCCTTTCCTTTTTGTGAGTTAAAAGGTTGCTCTATAAATAAGCTTAGTTCTGTCAGAATCTGCTTTGAGAGCAGCCTGGATGCGTTATGAAATGAAAACGTGCTCTTGAGGAAAATGTTGATCGCATATCAAAAGTAAATTACTGGAAAAGAAAAGATTTTGTGGAAAATTCCAGAACTGGGATTAAAAAATGCCATGTTTCAGTCCTCTATGGGGGTTGGTGTGTGACACTCCCTTCCCTCTGGCCTGGGCTTCCAAGCCAAACCATCCTTACCTGGGGAGATGCATTGTCATATCTCCAAAGGAAAGGGATTGTCCAGGGAGGATCCCAACATGCAGAAGAGACACAGAGAGACAATACACAAACTCCCATGAGGTAATGCTATAGCACTTCCAAATCAAAGATTTTGCTTTTTAAACCAATTTTTATTCTATATTCTTTTTCTTCTGAAAATTTGAAGCATTTTGTGGTAAATTCTGCCATTCCCCTCCCCTTGGCTTTGTTTTCCTTCCTTTCTACTGGAACAACCACAATTTCTAACTCAGTCTACCTCTAATTTGAGGGATAAAGCATACAAAATAATGCTCTGCCCATGCATCTACCTTGCTGCTTCTTTCCCTCGTCTTTATGCATAAGTTGATGCACGCACACATGCACACGCATGCAGAAACACCCCAAAGTTCCTTGCTACTTTTTTCTTTTTGGCAGTGAATTTCCAAGCTTCTCCCTCTCATTCTCCCTTTAATCCCTTGCAGCTGCAATAGCCACCTATTGAGAATAGGATTGTGGGTCTGCACCTCAGCATGCAGAGAAACTGTGGGTAATATGCAGCATCCGTTTTTGAACAGAATACCCCTAACCTGCTGCAGACGCTTTATTCCACACTGATACAGATGTATTACATGCCACTGCGCTTTCAGTTGAGCGGTGCAATATAAATACCTGCAGGGTATGAATCTAATTGCCTTTGTTGTACCTGATGAAGATAACTGCATGCTGCATACACTTTCCTTGCCAGCTCCTTTACTTCCACTGAAACTCGTTTACGATGTCACAAATTAGCATAGGCTTGAGCCAGATTTTCCGTGAGGCTCAGTGGGGTACAGTTGTTCTTAATGGCGCTGTTTGTCTTTGTGCTCATGCGTCTGCAGAAAGGTAGAAGTGAGGAGGTGCTGTGCAGGGGCTGGGACAGCATGTGCAGGGGGGAACCTTGTAGCAGATCTGTGTATTGGCTTGCTGTTGCTCTCTGTTTTCTAGCCTGGGTTTTGATTTACATAGGAAAAGCTATTCTTTTAACTGTTAGGCAGCATGTTTCTGACAACAAACAGGGCCCTTGAAGAGCAGAAAGGCAAAGCCTTCCATAAATATGGAAGTCGTTCTCTTTTTCCTTTTCCTTTTCTCCCCTCCCAGCCAGGGGACTGAGGTTACCCCTGGTTACTGTCTAACAAATTTGCAGCTCAGCGCTGGGACCACAGGAAGACCAGTAGCCCAGGGTGAAGGAGGGATGCCTGCAGCCATGGGAGGGCCGTGCTGTAGACCGGGTACCAAAGGAGGCGGTGGAAGGCAAACCATTGCTCCAAAGCAGTGCCAGCCTGGCCTGAGCCAAGCCGGGGACAGCCTGGCCTGTGTCACGTGACACTGGCTGCACCCCAGCAGGCTGAAAAGATCTTTGCAAAGGAACAAACCTTTCCCTGGCATTCTCAGGAATTTACCCTAGCAATGGACCTGTGAGACAGGCTGCTCAGCAGTGTTGCCATCCAGCCCCAAATAACCCAAGCTCTGACCTTGCAGGGACAGTTGTGTCATTGCCTCCATGCTCCTGGACTTAGCTTAGCCCTTGTGGTAGAAAGCGCCTCACCCCGAACTCTCCATCTAGCAAAAAAAGGATGTTTTCCACTTAATATTCCTTGAGTCAGGGATTCATAATGGTGCAAAAAGGGGTTATATCGTACTCCTACAGCACTGCTGTTTTTTGTACTCCCTTAATAAGAGGTTGGCTTTTCAGCTGGGGTAAATCGTCAGCAGAGGTGAGCCCATTTCCCCAGGCAAAGGCCTCCCCCCAGCCCCCTGCTCTGGAAGATGGATGTACCCCAGGCCAGGCACACAGCCTTGTTCCCCTGAGCAGCCGCTCTCGGCAGGTGCTGTTCCCCGTGCTGGCGGCTCCTCAGCAGATGTCTGCCGGGCCCTTGCCGAGAGCAAGGCTTGCCAGGGTCATTGACGCAAGTTTTTTTTTTTTACTCCTTTCATTATTACAATGCATAGAAAAAGAGAGAAAGGGAGACATTATGCACCTCTGAAAAAGAAATTAACTCCACTTTGAAGTGGGTTGCAAAACAAGAGGAAAAAGACCCAAGAAAGAAATCCTCCAACTGTAAGTGAGGCTGTGCCATGCTGCTCGTTGATGGGTCTCAGTCCCCTTATGGCTGAGAAAATGTATAGTCATCTCTTGCCTCAGGGCTGTTTGCAGCACAGTAAATGGACTTGTTCAGTTTAATTGGAAGACGAGTAGTGATTGTATTTTTGTAACCTATTAGACTGCACTGCCTCTTGGTCTAGGATTGCACTCAAAATTATAGTCTGGAGTATGGGTGAGGGCCTCATTTCTACTCCCCCTTCATCTTGATTAAATAATGACTTGAAACAAAAAATCCAATAAATATATATCTTGGGTTCCCTTGAGGGCAGCAGTAGGTCCCCTGCTGAAAGCTGGAGGAAGCAAAGTTCACTGAGATTATTTAATTACTTATTAGAGAGGGGGAAAAAAATCCAAATGTTCGCATAGAGAAAATTAGATTCGTGAAAGAGCAGACTCTTTTAAGACACCCTAGAAAAATAAAAAGCCATTAGAATTCAATTGAGCTCCGCACAGTGTTTTCAGATGTGGCGCTCGGTTTCCATCTTGTGTGGCTGGCATGCCTTCCAGAAGCAGTAAAATGGGACCTGAAGCAAAGCCAAGGTCATCAGATGATAGGGAATTTGCTCAAGCAGACAGGCAAGTCGAGCACCTTGAGACTTGTCCTGGCTCCTGCTGCGGGACAGAAATCTCCCCCGGAGCCTGCAGGAAGCTACTGGCTACAGCCTGGTGCCCCAAGATGGTGGGGCTGGAAAGCTGCTGTGTCCCCACTGGCACCTGCCTTGCCTCAGCCAGACCCTCCAGCCCTCACAAGGACTGTGGGGTCCATATTTCACTGATATCCACATGTTGCCTCTTCCCAGAGTGCTACTACTACTACCATAGATGTTGAGCTACAGAGGAGCTTGTTGATCCCCAGACATTTGATAGATTTTGTGATGTGCTGACAACAGTTGCTACTTTGAAGGTAAGGCTTCAGCGAAGGCAAAGCAAAAGCATGCATCCTAGGTCCCAGAGGCAGTCTTAAAAGCTGGTTTAGAAATGCCAAGAAACTGCTGTATTTCTTGGCAGAAATAAAGGCCTTTTGGTTTAGACTGGGAGGGAACAGAAGCAAGGTGTTTGGGCGTGCGATGCTGGGGTCAGTGTCCCTCGGAGCAGCCCCGTGCCCGCTCCAGGCCTTTCCTACCTCCGTAGCCAGGGAGTACTTCATGTGGTGGTTCTATGCCTGTAAATGAAAGGTGGTCAAAAGCTGGTTGTCTCTTGGTAAGGGTTCAGATCGAATGCAAACCATAACCCATCTTTTAAAAAAAAAAAATCTGGTGCCGTATTTGAAAGTGCAATCCTGTATCTTCTGGGATGTGGCTGGGGAAAGCACAATAGCAAGGAGGCCAGTTCTCTCGGGGCTCTGGATGTGGCATCAGGTTTTCAGAAAGAATTAGTGAAAAACAGAGCTGGATACCTGTCACTCTTATGCTGCTTTGACATTCCAATTTCGAGTAAACAAGGACTGGTAGAGAAGTGCTAGAGCTGAGAATCATAGAATCATAGAATCATTGAGGTTGGAAAAGACCTCTAAGATAATTGAGTCCAACCGTCGACCCAACACCACCACCCACTAAACCATGTCCCTAAGTGCCTCATCTACTCGTCTTTTAAATACCTCCAGGGACGGTGACTCAACCACTTCCCTGGGCAGCCTGTTCCAATGCTTAACCACTCTTTCAGTAAAGACATTTTTCCACACGTCCAATCTAAACCTCCCCTGGCACAACTTGAGGCCGTTTCCTCTCGTTCTATCGCTTGTTACTTGGGAGAAGAGACCGACCCCCACCTCGCTACAACCTCCTTTCAGGGAGTTGTAGAGAGCGATGAGGTCTCCCCTCAGCCTCCTTTTCTCCAGGCTAAACAACCCCAGTTCCCTCAGCCGCTCCTCATCAGACTTGTTCTCCAGACCCCTCACCAGCCTCGTTGCCCTTCTCTGGACACGCTCCAGCACCTCAACGTCCTTCTTGTAGTGAGGGGCCCAAAACTGACCACAGTATTCGAGGTGCGGCCTCACCAGTGCCGAGTACAGGGGGACAATCACTTCCCTAGTGAAGTAGCAAGGACCAGTACCAGATGCTGAAATAAGGAATTGCAATGTGTGTCGCCACTCATTCCTAGTTGGGAACATTTGGGAAACATTTCTGCTCTGTCCAGGGCTTCTGTGTTGAAGGTGCAAGCTGGCTAGTGAAGAAGGATCACTTCATTTCCCACGTCTGCTGCTGGGGCTCCCCATGCCTCCGAGTTAGGACTGAGCATGGCTTAGAAGTTAGTATGGGGTGGGCATGGGGGAGTCCCAAACTCCAGTATGGATTTGCTGGAATGAACTCATTCCTGTCCCTCTGTCCCTTATCCCAGAAACAGTAACGCCTCTCTCTGGCAACACAGGAAGCACTTGGAGATCCTCCAACTCCAGGTGTTTTCAGAGGGTGAGGATGTTGTGGGCAGTCATTCTGCGGACTGTGTGCTCTCCGCTGAGAGCCGCTCTGTGTGTTGGCAGCTCCACTCTGGTTTCAGTCGCTGCTGGTTCAGCACATGCGTCTGAGTGAGCTGCCCCTGTCCCAGTTAGCACCTCTTGAACTAGGTCAAGAGCAACACCCACACACCCCCCCCCAGGGACGCAGATCAGATGCCACCAGCAGGGGGGTGGATGTGAAGACACCATCTGATGGGATGAAGGAGCTCCATGTAAACAGTGACACAGGCTGGGTCTGTAGCCCCTCTGTGGATGAGAAAGAGCCCTGTCCCCGTGCCGGCCGGTCCAGGGCTAAGCTCTCTGAAGGGACTGGCCCTGGCCCTGCTGTGTGACAACTGATCCAGGTCTCCTCTGCTCCCTGAGATATTGCCAACATTGCAGTGTGGTTTTCTGTGCTCAGAATACCCCAGATTTGTGAGGGCATGGCCCAGGTCCCCAGTGTGGAGAGTGTGGCATAGAGGGAGGGCATTGTGTGTCCCAGAGCATGGCGTGAAGACGTGTGCAGGTGTTTGAGAGAGCATGGCTTGCTGGGAACATGTTGGAGGACTATCCTGAGCTGGGGGGACCCTGAACCAAACCTTATGGGTGGGAACGAGAAGAGAAGAGCAGAGCATCTGAGTGAAAGAGGAGGAGGCCACACAAGAGTGCAGACGTGCTGTGTCCACGTTTGGCCCTAATTTTCACCCTGTTGCAAGGCCTAGACGGTAGCACTAACATAGCCTTGCTCCCAGTGCTGGTACATTTCTGCACTTGCTCAGGCAAATGCCAGTGGAGTTAAAACTGAACTATAAAATACGCAAATGATGTAAATCCCCTTGGTGGTGCTCAGGGTCCCAGACAACAGCCCTGCCCAGGGCAGTCTATGGGGGTTTGGGGTCCTTGCTGACCCCGTTGGGTTCAGCAACCCACCAAAACCCAGCCGGGGTATGGTGGAACCCCCATGCAGAGGCTGGCAGAAGCAGGGCTGTCGTCCCCTTCCCCATAGGTCTCCAGTGCAGCACAGGGGGGGATATTTTTCCTCTTCTACTTTTTTTTTTTTTTTACTTCTTACCTCACTTGTGTTCCCTTTGTCACTTCCATGAAACCCAAGGGGATTTAGTGCAAGCTGCAACTTTTCAGCACAAGCGATTGGCTTCCAGGAACGGGCTGGATGGCCTCATTTAAAGCAGAAGGAAACAAAAATGAATAATAAGTGAGACAAGCAAGCAGACAAAAAGCAGTCATGACATTTGCATAGAGGAGGCCAGCGAACAGTTGGCAGTGTGGATTGAAGAGAGGGTTTATGTTTTTTTCATGTAATTTGAGACTCTAATGATGGACTTATGTTGCCCGCTCTTCCTTTTTTCTTACACCTTACCTACTAAAGGAGGAGTTCTTGATGGGTAAGTGGATGCTATCCGCAAGACACCAGGGAATTTATTAGAGGTCACTCGAGCGCATTAGCTATATCTTCTTCAGGGGGAAAAAAAGCACACAAAGAAGTATCTGTATACCTTTTATTTCCAGAGGGATTTTTCTTTTTTCCCCTCCCCCTTCCTTTTTTCTTTTTTCCTTTTTTTTTTTAGTTTCAAAGTGGTAAGCTTGTTTATTTGCCAGTTTTTACTTTGTACGGAAGCCCTTAATTTGATTTGACTTGATTTTTTCTTTGCTTATTTTAGTGACATTCATTCAGCCTCTTTATTAAGGAAGCTTTAAAAATTCACTCATTTAAGATTTTGTTTAATTTTTGTTTTCTTTCCAAAGACTATGTAGGGTTTTTTATATGTATATACCCATTTCTTTTAATTTTTTTTTTCTCCCCCTCTTTAAGGTTAAATAAGGGCTTTGTCCTCTGTTACACCTTTTTTTATTTAGTTATTTTGATTCTTTGGTTGCCCGTTTACTTTGTTGAACTCTTTTGTTTAACATGAATCGCATGCTGATACTCTTTGCATGATCTCTAAATCTTCCCATTATCATAGCAGGGGGAAAAGAAGTTTCTTCTTACTGTGGATTTCTTTCAGGGATATGTGCTTTTGTTTTCTTCTCCTCTTTCTTCTTTTTCTTTCTTACTTTGTTTCTTTCCTTTCCTTTTGTTTCAGTGCATCATGATGGTAAAATTTCTGGGTTTATTTAAGAAAAAAAAAACAACAAAGTAAAACCAAAAACAACCCCCCAAAAACCATTCAAACAATGCCAAATGGCTTTTTTGCTTTCAGATCTCTCAGTCAGGGTCTTCTGCTGACCTCTTTACCAAAACAGACAGCCCGCCTGGTAACCTAGCCAGCCAGAATGGAGAGTATCATGAATATGACTCAGGAAACGATACTTCCTCCCCTCCCTCCACTCAAACGAGCTCATCCAGGTCAAAGGACAGCCAGGAGAAAAGAAGTCTAGTCCATGATGGCTTTGGCCATGCCTTCTCGTCCGGGAAGCCCAAACTGGCCAACAGCGATAACAGCTCTGATTCAGGAAATTCCTTCACCAGTTGCTTTTCCCAGACCAAGGGAACAGCTTTGGAAAATCTGTCTCCAGATGCCCAGGGACAAGACCGAAGGTCAGTGATTACCAGTAGCTGCTGCTGGCAGCCAAATACCTGGTACGTTGTTGCTCTGTATCTCCTGCCTGCTCGCCAGTTGCAGTGGTGAGCTGGCAGGGAGGTTTTTGTGGTCTGAAGGCAGTTAGATATAAATCAGACCCACGGTCTTGCCAGTCTGGAGTCCAGAACCCAGCAATGACCAATACTGTAGCCTGAGGAGGAAGATGAAAACCCAGCCATCACGCCCCCGGGCATTGCCTGTGCCTGCTCTTCTGGCATTAATGTGGCTAATGCAGGGTTTGGCCCTGGGTCGAGCTGTGTCCTGAACACATCCCTGCTCAGTTGGACGTGACAAAGACAGTCACTGGCCTTTCTAGGCTAAATCTGAAAGGTGCATTGGGGTTGCTGTGCTAATTCTCCCCCTCTGATTACTGCGGGGAAGGGAAGCAGGGTTCATTTTCACTAAAACCATTACGGGCTGTTCTTTCACCTGTCCAATGAGTCAAATCCAGCCTCCCCTTCCCAGCTCATTCAGGACTGGTCCTGGGTGACAAGATAGCCTCTTCTACAGATGGGGAGCACAGGGAGGGCCAAGTACGTCACTGGCTGCAGGATAACAGCAGCAGCTCTGTGCACTGGGGCCACGGGGCATCAGAGCAGGGGGCAGGAGTCAAACCACCATCCAGTGCCGCAGGCCATCATCAGGAGAGGGGAGGAGATGCCAGCCTCCATCACCGCCTCCCATTCCTGGGGGTTTGCCAGGTGTTGTTGGGAATGAAGGCACTGAAGCGCGGTGGCTGGTACCCAAGGCTATGCTCAGGCAGTGGTGTTAGGGAGCTCTTCCAGCTCAGGCCCTTGGGTCTTAAAGGCTGAAAGTTAGAGCCAGGATGTGGTCTGGGGGTGGGAGCACTGAATGAGAGATGAGAGGGAGCCAGGAGAATTGGTGTTAGGAAGAACAAACCCTCTATTTTTCAGTCAGAGGGTAAAATTTTAGGGCTGTTTGTATTTTTCACATTGTGACTCCAGTGGGATAACTGTGCCTTCACATGGGTGGAGCTGGGATTGCAGCTGGCCCTGGCTGTTGGGAGGCTGCTTCGCTGCTGGGCTCTAACCCCAGTTCATACCCAGGGCACTTCTGGAAGCGGAGGAATTCACGCAGCGCTGTCCAAAGGCAGCAGGATGTGCCCGCTCATGCTGCTCCACAGCCAGGCTGGAGCACAGGCCCTTGCCCTGCCATGCTCTGGCTTTCCCTTGCTCCAGCATTTCTCACCTCGCTCCCTCCCCAGGACCTGCACCGCTCACTGGCCTGACCCAGGCTCTGCCAACCAGACACCTTTGGTGTGCTGGGCACGGGGCAGAAGAGCTGCCCCTCACACCACCTGAGACCTCTTCCACAGCCCTTCTCTGGCACAGCCTGGAGGGTGAGCTTTTGGGCTCTGACCCACACACACGGGGCCTCCTGCAACAGCAGCCTGGGGAGCCGGGAGGTCTTTTTTTATCCCCAGCTGGGGAATGGGAGGATGGGAGTACTTGTTGGCTGGAGCGTGGTGCTCCCCTCAGCCAGGGACCAGTCCCAGTTCAGCCACAGCTTCAATGACTGTCCAAATATATATTCACAGAGGGTGCCTGTCCTTGTGTCTCACCTGTTCGGAGGAGAAGAAGCGAAACTTCCTCCCGTCCCCAACCCACAGCTCCCCGCTGAGGCCGTGCTCCCGCAGTGAGTCGTACACCAGCACAGGCAGATCCTCCCCCGGCTCCAGCCGCTCCAGCTCCTCACACCACAAGGCCTCTCCCAGGTACTCCCGAAGCAAGTCCTGCTCTTCAGGAAAGAGGTAAGGCCAGCTAAAACGGCTGTCTCTGTGACCCCGGGCAATGTCTAATTCTTGCAGGCTGGCAGGCTCCTTGCAGGGGGAGGTGTAAGAGTTTGAGGGGTGCCTAGGGATCCACATGGCTTGGGGTGAACTGGCCACACAGAGCTGAGCCGAGACCCTGAAGTATGGGGCATCTCTCTATGGGCTCTCCCCATGAGCCCAGATTCGGAGGAATTTGGTACAGCCTCACCTTCCAGTGTCTTTAACTCTTTTATGGTTCTTGCCTATCCTCAGGTCATCTTCACGCTCCCCCAGCTATTCCTCCAAATCCTGCAAAAAAAGTCCTGGGAGCAGGAGTTCAAGGTCTCGTCGGAGCCCCAGTTACTCCCGCTACAGCCCTAGCAGGTACAACTGTCTCCTCATGTGATATCTACTGCCTCACACTTTCCCACTGCCTGCATCATTTGTTTGGACTCCAGCACACTTGCTGGCTCCTGCCAGCCCCAAACCGCTCCCTCAGCTTCCTCACTGGGTGCTTTAGTCCTCAGCACTGGGGTGAGAGGGAGCAGGGGGACACAGAGTAGGGCATATGGCAGTATGTTACGTTGGCCCTCAGTCAGTGGAAATTCCTCACCATCTGTTGCCCCAGAGCTGGTGCTGGTTGCAGAGGGAAGAGCCCAGAGATGAGCCTTTCACTTTCTGTGGGAAAAGTGGATTTCCTATAGCCAAGGACTGCCCTGCGTTGATTCAGGAGAATTTCACACAAAGCACTTTTGGGGGTAGGTTGCTGGGAAGGAGACCTGGTTTATCCCTGGAATTGAAGCATCATGGTATCTCACACTCAGAGCGTGTGGCAGGTGAAGTGGCTGTTCTTCCTCTCTGAGCCCTTGTGGGGGACACGCTATGCAGCTGAGAGTGCACAGATGGCTGCTCGGTGGTGTTTTCCAGGGCCTCATGCGAGTAGGAGATGCCTCATAGGAAAACCTGGGGAGTGCCCCTCTCTATCATGCTGGTGTAAACAGTGGGCAGAGCATTAGGCTCCAGTTGGATCTGTCCACAGCCTTCATTTCTCGAGGAGCCCACGCCAGCCAGCAGCCCCTGCAGCAGGGCTGCAGCCCTTGTCAGAGAGGGATCTTAGTGCAGCAGGGAAAGACACTCCGCTTTTCAGAGTTGTGGCTCTGCCAAAGAGTTGTCAGGCCCTGGGAAGTGTCCCTGCTGCGTGGGCAGATGCCGGGTACCCTCGTGCTGGCACTCACACAGTCTTGCAGAGGGAAACACAGTCCAGGCAACTCTACTCCCTCCACATGTCATAGAAAACACATATCTCACAGCTCAGCCCTAGGGATGCCTTTGGGCAGGTTTTTCTGGTAACTTCTCTGCTGCTGTGAACATTTTGCACCCTTGAAGTGTTACATTCCCAGGGTCTGATTCTTGCAGGCTGTGACAATCTCTGCACTGGTGTAGGAGAACACTTCCTGCATGCAAGGATCAGGCCCTTGACCTGTAACTTGCTGCTTTGCAGATGGCATTGAGGAGGGTGTATGAAGTCAGCTATACTCCACAGAAGGGCCTGTGCTGACGTGTAAGGGAATTTAACAAAAGAGAAAACCATAGCAACACCGGCACTCCTGGTGAGCCATGCAGAGCTGCACAGCCCTGCAGGGATTCTGGGGGCCCTCCGCTCACGTGGGGCCTCCTGGCAGGGTTGTTCTCGCCTGCTTCTGCAGCACAGCCAGCAAGAGCAATTTTAGTACAGCTAAATACCGAGTGCATCCACAGACACAGGTACATGGAAGCCATCTTAGTTTGGCAGCGCAGGGCCACCAGGAGAGACTGCTGAAACCCCCAGACACAATTAGTGGGTGTCCATCTGTCCAGCCAGATGAGTGTCTCTTTGTCCAGCTAAGTGAGTGTGCGCAGGGCTGATGCCACCAGAGCACTTTGCTTAGAGTGGTCCCTTTTAGAGCTGAGCATCCTCCGCTCATCTGTGCCTTCATGGGTCACTGCCTCCACATCCAAAACCCACCCCACAAAAACCCAGCAGTGACAGTTTCCAATCTGTGCCTTCCCCAGAGACCGTGAGCGAGAGCACAAGTACGGCTCCAGTGAGAAGGAGTCACACAGGCAGCGTGACCGCCGGCGGCGGCAACGGTCGTATTCACCCCTAAGGAAACGCAGGAGAGACTCTCCCAGCCACCTCGAAGCTCGGCGCATCACGAGGTAAGGGGATGCTTACCATCGTTTGGAGACAGGCTCAGCTGGCACTCCTCGGGGACACATGGGCTGTCCTTGGGTCCCAGCCCTTGCCAGCGGAGGCTTCTCCAGGAGGAGACCGGTTTCCCTGAGCCTGAAGCAGGCCCTTCCACCCCTCCTAGAGCTTAGGGATTTCCAGCTAGAGGCAGAGGGAGGATGGGGGGGGTCTCATTTACAACAGCTGACAAAAAAAGGCAGACGAAGTCAGAGCAGGGACTCACCTGTCAGGTGCCAGGAGCATCCCCCCACAGGCTTTTTGTTTCACCCTCTCCTGTGGTAGATGTCCCACACTGTAGAGAGAGTCAAATACTGACTCTAACCTTCATGCTGTGAGGGCTCTTTGGGACAACATCAAGCAGAGCCCAGCCTCAGACTTGGTGCTTGGAACATTCTTCAGGGCCGTGGGGGTGGGTGGTTTGAATCCCAAGGCCTGTCAGCTACCTGATCTCATCCTTTTTTTCTATTAAACACACACAATCATGTTTTTGGGGAGTGTTGTACAGAGTAAACAGTGCTTTTTGGAGATTTTTGGCAGTAAGTTCATCCTTGTGTTGCTGGTAACCCACGTCTCTCTGTCCCCACAGTGCCCGCAAACGCCCCATCCCCTACTACCGTCCCAGTCCCTCCTCCTCCAGCAGCGCCAGCAGCTATTCCTCCTGGTACAGCAGCTTTAGCCGCTCCCGGAGCAGGAGCTACTCCAGCTACCGGACAAGCCGGAGCCGAAGCTGGAGCAGCAGCAGCGCCGAGGGCAGGAGCCGCAGCCGGAGTTCGGGCCCCAGGAGCAGCCGCAGCAGGAGCAGGAGCTATGACTCAGGAGGCAGCTCCGACAGCCTGCGTCGCTAGGGAGTGCTGCCAATGGCTCGCATGCCGGCATCGTTTCCAAATTCCTGGCATTCTCCGCTTCCTTCCCACCTACCTGGCCATTGATAGCAATCATTCCCAATACTGATGTGGTGGCAGTGCTGGGTTCCCCTTTCCCAGTTCGGAGTAAGAGCCCTCGGGCACCCGGTGCAGTCCCTCTGCCACCTCACGGAGTGGGTGGATCAGTCCCAGCTCCTCAGGCCAGGGCTGGAAGAAGGGTTGGTGCTTTACAGAGGGTCTGTCGCGAGAGACCTGCTCCATCCTCCCCGATGTCCCTGTCTCCCCATGGCTGCTGCTCTCCAAAGCACTACCAACTGGTCCAAAGGAAAGAGTTCAGCTCCTTGCTCTTCTGCCAAACCAGGAACCAGCAAATTAATTTCTGTTGGAGGGAGAGACCCAGTTAGGGAGGAATTTGCTGGGAAGCTTTGATGATGAGTGGGGGTGACCTGACCTGTCCCCGCCAAGGCAAATATCAGGTCCCTTGGGTCTCTCCTCCAGAGTTTCTGCCCACTCTGCAGCAGGCCTCTGCCATAAGAGAATATTTATTTATTGCTGGTCAGCCAGTCCCTGATATAAATAGAAGGCTAGAAATCCCCCCTGATGTAATTCCTGGGGAAAAAAAGGCCATTCCCCCTCTTTCTCCTGCCCTTTCCTACCAGGTATGCATCATCTTTTGCAGGGTTGTGTTATCCCCCCCAGCACTGTGACTTGTTTGCAAACAAACTCCTGAGATCTGAAGCAGACATGGGGCCAGTGGGTTACATGGGAGAGGGGAGCTGGTGCCACGCTGTGCTCCGAGGGCCAGGCCATGGCGTGGGAGATGGGGGCCGTGGGGTTCCCTTCTCAGAGGAACCCTCTTGCAGTTTGGGTTTAGGTTTTTCTAAAGGGAGCCTTGCCCTTGGAGTGCAATGCTGGTGCGTCTGTAAGGAGATATGGAGAGCGCCTAGCTGTGGGGTGTAGTGAGAGCACACGGGGTTGAAAGGGCATTGCATGACCCAGGGGACCCCAGTTCCCCTTCCTCATAACAGGCAGCAATTTTAAGCAGTGCCAGGAGGATTTCAGGAAATCATTTCTCCTTGAGACCCTCAGGCTCCCCTGAGGCAGGCTTAGCAGCCACAGCAGCCCCATCGCAGGGCCCGTGCCAAGCTGCAGGAGGATGCACTCGTGCCCCAGTTTGTCGCTGGGAGGACGGAGCGGTGCAGGGGGACAGAAAGGGCCCCCCACTAATTGCCTGTTTTTCCAAGGAGCCGCAGGCAGCGGCAGGGGGGGCCCGCGCGGCCGGGGGGGGCCTGGGGCGGGGGGGTTGGTTGCCG